CTTAAACGGACTTGCTGGAGAAGGACAAACAGTGGGTTTGGTCTGAGGAGTGCCAGAATGCTTTTGAGATGCTTAAGCAGGCAGTGTCTACAGAACCGGTCTTGAGACTGCCTGACTTTGGTTTGCCATTTGAAGTGCATACTGATGCCTCTGATAGAGCAATTGGTGGGGTCCTAGTCTAAGAAGGACACCCATGTGCCTTTGAAAGCAGGAAGCTTAAGGATGCTGAACAGAGGTATACAACTCACGAGAAGGAGATGACTGTAGTGATACATTGTCTTGACGCATGGAAGCACTATCTGTTGGGTACCAAGTTTACAGTGGTGACTGATAATGTAGCCAATACCTACTTCAAGACACAGAAAAAGCTTACTCCAAAGCAAGCTCGTTGGCAAGAGTTTTTTGGGGAGTTCAATTTCGTGTGGGTTCACAGACCTGGAAAGCAGAATCAGGTTGCTGATGCCTTGAGTAGGAAAGAAGTGCAGGAGTATGTGACGTCGTTGACAACGGTGTATACTAATTTCCTTGACAAAATCAAAGAGCAATCTCAGTCCGATAATGCCTATCAGAAACTTAAGCAACAGGTTGCTGATGGTGAAGTCAGAAAGTACTGGATTGAAGATAATCTACTCTACGCCAAAGGAGGTAGATTATATGTTCTTGTTGGAGGTTTGAGACAGGAACTAATGCGGGAAATGCATGATCCTTAGTGGGCTGGACATCCAGGGGTGGATAGAATGCTGGCATTGATATCCAGATCATATTACTGGCCCAAGATGGAGGATGACATAGAGTTATATGTCAAGACTTGCTTGGTCTGTCAAAAAGATAAACATGAGAGGAAGAAGGAGGCAGGGCTACTGCAACCCTTGCCTATACCAAAGCGTCTATGGCAGTCAGTTTCAATGGACTTCATTTCTGGTTTTCCTAAGGTGGAAGGTATGAGATCTATTTTTGTGGTTATAGATAGATTCTCTAAGTATACAATTTTTATTGCTGCACCACATGCATGCCCAGCGGAAGTTGCTGCTGGTTTATTTCATAAGTTTGTGGTGAAATATTTTGGCTTGCCCGAAGATATTGTTAGTGATCGTGACACCAGATTTACGGGAAGGTTCTGGACAGTGCTATTTGGCTTGATGGGCTCTGAACTGAAGTTCTCCACAGCAAACCATCCTCAGACTGACGGACAGACTGAAAGGATGAACCAGTTATTGGAAGAATATCTGAGGCACTATGTCACTGCAAGTCAGAAAAATTGGCTGGAGTTGCTAGACACTGCACAATTCTCTTATAATTTGCACAGGTCTTCAGCAACAGGAATAAGTCCCTTTGAGTTGGCAACAGGGCAACAACCTCGCACACCACAGGAGGTGGCAGTGCAGAGGACTGGGGGAAGATGCCCTGCAGCATACCGATATGCTCGTTCTATGCAAGAGATGGTGGAAGAGGCACAGGACAGCCTTGCCAAGGCTGCGAGAAGGATGAAAAAGTATGCAAATAAAGGGAGAAGGCCATTAGAGTTCCAAGTGGGAGACAAGGTTCTGTTGAAGTTGACTCCACAGATTTGGAAGAAGATAAGCAGCAAGACTGTTCACAGAGGGCTGATTCAGAAGTATGATGGTCCATTTGAAGTTGTGAAGAAAGTGGGGAATGTTGCTTACAGATTACAGTTACCCGACAGACTGAAGGTCCATCCTACTTTTCATGTGAGTTTCCTCAAGCCTTTTCATGAGGACACTGTAGATACATCAAGATAGTAGGCTAAGAGAGCCCCACCTGTTATTCGGTTGCAGTTTAACAAGGAGGTGGAGAAGATTTTGTCTCACCGGACCTAGGGTCAGAGTAAGAAAAATCGCAGAACTAATTACTTGTTGCAGTGGAAATGATGCAGTGAAGCAGAGGCGAGTTGGGAAAGGGATGTGACATTATGGAAGTTTGAGAAACAGGTAAGGGAGTACTTGGACAAGTCGACGAGGGCGTCGACTTCTTCTGGTGGGGGTGGTTTGTTAGCCCTTTGACAGTTGTCCAAGGGAAGACATGGGCATTGCAAGGCCACGCCATGTCTTGGGAATACTTTGGCTTTGGTTAGACAGCCATGAGGATGCTCAGTGGGTTGTCAGCGTGCACAAGATGCTCAGCGTGCACACAGGATGCTTAAAAGGATGCTCGGCGTACACTGGGGGTGCCCAGTGGCACTTTCGTAAATATGGTGAAAAATGAAACTTGGAGTTTTGACTTGGGATCTTTATGGAAGGTACCTTGAGTCCATAGAAGTTGGTTGGCGCAGACGGCACTCAATTTGGATGTCGGGAAAGGCCTGAAAGGCCATTATGACTCCTCAAGCATGGGTGATGTTTACTCCTGTAAGAGTGCTGGATTTCCTTAAGACTATACTAGGGAGGGGTCTGTTGAGCACATCGGTTGGGCTATGGCATGGCTTACTTAGAGGGCTTAGCCAACGTGCATGGGCACGTGTTGCACCACTCCAAGATGGTTGCACAAGTGGGGAGCATCCAAGATATTGAAGGGCAAACAAGTGGGCACCGACACGCGCGCTAGTGTGCAGCAGCGCGTGTGCGGGTGGGCAGGTGGGCGCGCGGGCAGGCGTCCAACCTAGTGTGCGCGAGCGTTTAGCTCGGCGTGCACACGGGCGTCCAGGTGGGCGTACAGCCACGGGCGCATGAGGGTTCAAACATGGCGCGCGAAGAAGGGCACTAGTGTGTGCGCCGACGTACACTTTGGTGTGCACCCGAGCGTGCGCACGGGCGTGCATGGCTTGGCACGCCGTGCACTCAGAGACATATATATGTGGGTGCAGATTGGTGGACTTGGCTTGGGCTAGGTTCACAAGGTTGACTCAGATGTGGCTAGAGTATAGACAATACAAAGTCATAGCTTGCGGTTACAAGAGGTGGTGGCTAAGTGGGCTTGGTCGGTTGGGAGAAGTTACTAGCACTTCCCACTTATCATGGGAAGTGGGGGAGTGCTGAGTAACCTCCCAAGTATGTAGCACAATTCTGAGAGGACCAATACACAGGCGGTTAAGGGTGGTTTCTTTCACTATGCAGAATGTAACTTCTTGTGGTTATGTGGCATGAGTAGAACATACCAACAAGTCTAGCAGTTGGGCTTATCAACTGCATTATAGTGCTGGCACATTTGGAGGGTGCCAGCACGACCCTAGGTGGATGGGGGTGTCATCCATCATCTTAGTGGACAGTTATGGGCGGTTTTGAGAGTGGCCTATATAATGCTAAGGTGGGCTTTGTAGAGGGAACAAAGAGGAGGGTGTGAGCCTTGGTTCCTTGTACGAACTCATATTCCTTTGTAATATGTTTAATATGAGTAAAGGTTGGGGCTTGTCCCTGTAAACTGTGTGTGCCTTCTTTACATTTTTATATTGTGTGTATTGTGTTGTTGTGTTGGCTGAGACTTGGTGGCCCCAAGTGCCATTACAGAAGCAAAAATTCGTGGTGTAATTTAGCCCGGTAACAATTATCATATATTCTATACAGGGGAAAGTCTGAAAAATATCCATGGTTTTAAATTTGTGTGACTTACACTTTTTTAGTTAGATTTATTTATATAAATCCCATGCCAGATATAAAAATGTGCAATTAAGCCACCGGTGACTATTCCGGTGAGAATTGGACGTCAGTTGGTCATGTGCCATGCACTTGACCAGTTTAACACCTTAAATACCAAAATTGCCATTCTTTATACCAAAAATGCCCTTAAGCATACATATATCATCTCTCTATCTACCGTCGTGTGTGTGGAAGCGGCAAACGACGGACTAGACGGCGAAAATTGGGCGGCGATGGTCTGGAAGACGATGGAGCAGCACTGGTTGGGTCCGATTGCATGGGTGTGGTCAGGGACGGTGATGGAGAGAGGGACGCGCCATGTGTTTCTGAGACTGAGAGTGGGTGTAGTCGTGTGAGATGTTGTTAGGGACGGTGATGGAGAGAGGGACACGGTGCGGATTTCCCTAAGAGTAATGGTTCCGTCGGCGGCTACGCGTGGTTGTGATGATGTTGGTGTTGTTGCCCATGGTCGTATATGCAAACCCATGACGAAAAAGTCTGGATTTGGGTATTTTCTTTGCCGGAACAGGAACGGGAATCAGAGAGAAAGATGGATGGATGGGTGGGTGGGTGGTGGTTCACCGGCAAAATCAAGTAAAAACTCCAAGATTGATCAATCAAAGAGGGCCTAACCTTTCCAATTCTTCCTATGATTGTTGCGAATTTCTCGTATCGAAGTCTATTTGATTGTAATGTCAACGTTCTATTGCTGGTGTGACTATTAGTACAAATTGAAATCGAAAAAAGAAACGGGTTGTTGTACGAGTGGATTCCAGACAATCTTCATGAGATTTTACCTAATTTACGCCCTTAGTTTGACAGTCAGATAGATTGTCAATGGCAAAAGAAAATAAAGAACAATCCCAAAAGCATTAATACGGGCTGATTTCATGATTCATTAGGTATGCTATTAAAGCAGCTTGGTGGACACAGAGAAGAAGAACTAGAATTCCATTCCTGTAGAATCATTGTTACAGCAGTTTTCCTATCATATCAAAGATGTAAACTGAGGCCAAATGTGAATATGCGCTAACTTGAAACTACCTCGTATTGACAAAGGGTTTCTTTATCTTTTTACCTTTTATGTTATATTATTAATTTTTTAAAATCATATATAGAGGGCTATTTTAGTTTTTTTGTACCTTCGGTATCGGTCAACCGAGGTCAACGCCCAAAAGATACTAATCTGCACCATTTGTAAAGCAAAGGGGAGGTTAACAAACAATGGGGTTATACGCACTATATCAATATTATAGGGGTGTAAAGCGCACCCGAGCCTTCTATATATTTGAAATACATAATATATACACATAATTGCTCGTGTATACCTGAAACAAAAATCACTCCTTGGAATTTTATAGTAATTACTTGTTTATGTATGGAATGTTTTAGGATTTTTAAACGATTAATATGGAACCATGGATGATTGAAAATCTGAGAAAGCTTGAGGTGGAATATAAGGATAAATTCGAGACAGCATATGGTGTTGAAATTCACAGTGATGCTCTACTCCTTGCTTGTAACATCGCCTTTAAATACTATGATGGTGGGCCTCCCTTCTTTGTTGATTTCTTATACTTTGAAAATTAAATTACTACTTAGTTTGTTTAAGATTTGATAATGTGGTCTGTTATTTATGTTTTCCTGTTATTTCTCCAGTTCTCCTGTCTAATGAAGGAAGAAGAGGTGGCAATCTTGAGGTTGTGCTGGAAAAGAAGGAGGTGGAGATGGTGGAAAAAGCCTGTATGAAATTGAGACTTGATCTAGACACAAATGCGGAAGAGTATGCTTTGGATTTTGACAAATACTCCTTGTGTCGTACACTCGTTGAATTGGAGGAAATCAAGAGAGAGAAGGATCCTGCTAAGAAGTTTTGGTTTCCTTGTGTAAGTGCTGCTTTTCTTCTCCTCACCATGCGAAGCTTTCAAACATAGAATTAATATGAACATAACACACACTCATACATAGTCAATGTGGAAAAAAAAAAAAAAAACTTGTTGAATTGGGGATGCCCTCCTTCCTTTTTGTTGTTTTTGTTTTGTTTTTAAATAAAAGCTCATTCAGGGAAAAAAAAAAACATATATACATATATTATATAGTCAATGTGGGTTGGGTTTTTATTATTTTTTTGGCTTCAGGTACAAAAGGATTATGAAGATTTAATGGATAAGTGGGATAGGTTTGTGAGGAAGTGGAAGCCCACCGTGAGCTCTAAAGAAAGAGCTGAAGAAATATACATGTTAAAAGAAGCGCACAAAATGTTGGTTTCATGTTTACAGGAGGTGGAAGGTGGTGCGAATGGGATGGATGACCCGACCCCACTCTTTAGGGTGGCTCAACAACATCTTGGTACCCTTGTAACTGAGCTCATGCTAATGATCGACGAAAATTTTAAGCAAAACCTGACTCTTACTCCAAGTCTAATTGCAGAGGTATGAATGTATCATTTTGCATAGAGTCTTCACTTCTAATTCTGAAAACTCAAAATCTGGCGCTCAATTGGATGAGATATTTCAATTATTCAATGATGGGGGCAATGCAATGTAGGTAGCAAGTCCTCTTACTGGGATTCCTGCTTCATTGCTCCTTAATTTTTCAGAGCCGCCACTTCAGGGCCTCGAACCAAGACTTGCTAAAGGGCTGATGCTGATTGGACAAGAACATGTTCCATTTGTTATTAGCAATGCATTGTCAAGGCGTAGAGTTGTTTCTCAATCTCGCCCAATTGGATCATTTCTATTCTTAAATAGCCTTGTGCCGGGATGGACAGAGATCGCCAAAGCTCTTGCTGAGCAACTTTTTGATGACAAAGAAAGGTTGATAGCATTCGATTTGTCAGAATACTCAAGACTCACAATCTGTCTCACGCCTCATTGGTTTCCCCTCCAGGTTTTAATCTGTCTAGATGGTCTCTTTCGATTGTTTTTGCTCTGTATTCTATATAATGGGCTAATTGTTATGCTTTATGTTGGAATTTTCAGTTCCTATTATCATGAAAATTGTGCACAGAAGGACTGCTCACAGAAGCTGTGAAGAGGAGGCCTTTCACCGTTGTGCTGTTTGACAATGTTGATAGGGCTCATCCTTCTGTTACTGACGTTCTGATTGAGATCATTAGCCATGGCAGAGTATCAAATGGCCAAGGAAGCACCACTGATTTCACCAAAACACTGATTATCATGACATCAAATATTATGGATGGTAAAGTCGACTCGTGGAAATGCAAATATGTACAGATGGTTGAAGAAATCCCGCTGACAGACTCATCTCCTGATACATTGCAACAAGATCATGAATGCACCTATCTTGATCTTCTGAGGGAGGTAATTAAGTTGTTGTATAAATATGGGGTGTTGGTTTTTTGAGTGTTTTTTTAACCATTTTTAATGCATTAGTTCAAATTTCTTTTTTGTGCATTAGTTTTGAACCAAACTATTCCAGTCCTGATATCTTTGTTCCTTGTAACTCACAGGCCAGAAGACATTTCAGACACGAGTTGTTTGAAAAACTGGATGATGTGATTCTTTTTAAGTATTTTACTTTTGAGCACGATATTGCTGCTGCCAGGCTCCAGCTGAGGGATATAGCCAGCTCCATGAGGACCATGACTGAGAAAAGGCTAATTTTATACCCTTCTGACGCTGCACTCTGTGATATTTCGAGCAAGTGGCATCATGTAAGTTTCCATTCTCCATATAATATAATGGCCAGTTTGATAGAAGGGATGAAAAATGGATGTAAGGGAGCTAAGAAGCTCGAATACGACACGACACTAACACGGTGACACGCCAAATTGACATAGACGTGGCGGGAACACAAAAAATATTTAATATTTGGTATATGTGACAGTATTGTAAGACTATTATTACTTCTTATCAAATTAAGAACAAAATTCCACATCACAACAACTAATGAATTACAATGATAATTCTCTTGCTTAATTAGATAAATAAAGAAGATAGGATATGCTGAAGTATAATTTATAAATTTCTCTTATAAAATTTGTTTTATCTAAGTCCATAGCTAAACAAAATGTTAGAGTTTTTTAAAAGAACGAAAGAAAGAAAGAAAAAAAACAAAAGGAGATAGAGAGGGGGGTTGGCTTAAGTAGAATTTCTAAACCTTTTCTAAAACTAGGAGGGCTTTGTCGAAAAAAAGGAAAGAGAATTCTACTAGGAGAGAGAGAATCATTTAGAAAGAAAAAATAAAGAAATAAGAAAATTAAGGTGGTGTTGAGAAGAAGGAAAAGAGGCTCTTTGTTGATAATAAATGAGAGAACCTGTAGATGACGAAAGTGGTTTGGGAACTGAAAAAATGCAGCCTTGGGTATATTAGCAGCTGCTTTACTGCTAGCTCTTTCATTTCTATCACAATTGAACCTCCTGCATTGCCAACAGTGGTATAAGTATTACTGTCAACATCATTCTACTGCCGGTGAGACTAACTGATATTGCATATCTTTGTGGTTCTTGTAAAGTCTAATGTTTATACAAAGCGAAAATTTTAACCTCAACCTTGTGGAAAATACATTAAATCTATTTATATATAAAGGCAAAAAAAGCAATTTATTCCTTTCTTTCTTCTTCTCTCTGCGCGCGCGCACGTGTTGTTATCTTAATCTTTTCGGCTGCCCAACCAACTGCTCTCTATATTAAAAAGTAAAGGATAAAATTTCTACATTTCCTGGATTTTTTTAAAAATTGTTTGTTATTAGATACTTCTTCTACAAAAATTAGTTACAAAATTAATAAAATAAAAAAATAAATTACTAAAATATTATTTAAAAAATATCTTTTATCACGTTATGTATCTTTTAACAGATTGTTTAAAAATCTTATTTGAATTTGAAAATTTAAATTAGGCATTTCCTTGATCTTGACCAATTATTAAATTAAAGATGAAAGTTTTTTAGTCGGTAAAAGTTTGGCTTCGTAAATATTTTGATGTATTTTGTTACATGTAAATGAAAATTATGAAATATAGAAAGTAGGGACATAAACAAAAACGGAATTTGGATTTTTTAATGTATTTTATAATCTTCTTCTTTTTTTTTTTTTTTTTTTTTTTTTTAAGATAAACCACAGGCCAAATCAAAAGATCAGAGCACATGAAGCTGCAACATTCCAAAGCTATCAAACCAACACCCCTTATAGTCAAGATCCCAATCTTGACAATCATTGGAAAGGGTATCAGTACTAGCAAAAGTGAAAAAAGCATCCCTACAAAAGTAGCAGCATACCAACTATATAGAACCTAAAGCTGAACCCAAGAGACAAAACCTAAAACCAAACTAAAACCAAAAACTACACCAACCAAGGCAAATTAGAACCTAAAACAAAACAAAAGCTTAGACAGAGCAACATGTAGACCAAAAGATAGCATTAGTTTAACCGGTTGGTGGATCATCAGACTGACCAACTCCCACCAATTGTGCAAGCAAAGTCGCAAATGATTGGGATAACTCCAATGCAAAAGACTCATTCGCTTGGATATCAGACCGTCCAGAGGAAGCAGACTACGTCCTAATTAGAGCAACTAGAGGACTGAGCACAACCAGCATACTTGCCTCACCACCCCCCACAACTTTTAGTTTCTTATCTCCCTCAATACGGTCAACACAAGAACCCCCAGAATTAGCGGGACTGCGTTTAACAACCCTTACGAACAGGAGAGGACCCTTGACTAGTAGAAGTGGCCGAGGAATTTGACTGAATTCCTTTTGACTTCACCACCCGAGCCTTTCCTTTTTTTCACTCCTTCGTTATTTGATCCCACCTTTCTAAAGGCAAAATTCTGCCCTTAATTGGAGAAGTAACTTGAGCATAAGCAGCAGCATCATCACACTGAACAGAAGCCATATGGCTCTGAGAAGAAGACCCCGGGAGCAAGACCCCTTCCAACTGAGGACAATAAGTCCCAACAAGAAAGTGGTCAGCATCCACCCCGACACCAAGAGGCTTCCTCACATTCATCAACTGGGCATCGATAGCCCCCGTGGATCCTTCGCCCTGACCACCCCCACCACCCAATAGTTTTTGACCTCCAATACTGGATAAAGCAACCACTGCAGGTTATAAAGAAAGAACCGGAGGAAATTCAGGGCCATGAGATGGGCACCCAAACAACCCACCAGAAGCATAAGGCCACCCTTTAAAATGGCTGGGAATGGAAGAAACATAAGGATGACTCAGATCCTCAGACCCTTCCGAATCATTATCATCAGCATACAACCAATTTTTACCCAAAGTAGCACCCCGTGAAGAGCCCACCTCCTTATCAGATTGCCAAAGATCCGTACCAATAAAACCGTCAACCCCAAGCCACCCCCCATACTCGGTAAGATTCTGCGAAGTGCCAAACTCTACAGTGCAGGTCTTCCAGTGATGGCCAATAACACCACATTTAAAATATAAAGAGGGCAATTTTTCATAACGGATTGGAGCACGAGAGACCCCACCAGTTGGACTGGTTAAGACCACATGATGATGAAGTGGCTGCATAATATCCATCTCCACTTTAAGGCGTAAAACACGACTATCCACAACACCTTTCTCATGACCATCAACCACACCTTTATCACGTAACTCCACCTTTAAACACCTTCCCAAAGAGTCCGTAATCCTTTGACCCACTCTCTCTGATAGGAGATTAGCCTTAACCTTCGATATCTGAACCCAGAAGGGAGAAAATTTAAATGGAAGTTCAAAAAAGAGTAATCCCTCCTCCCATGCCTTAACAACCACCAAATGGCCATCAAATAACCAAGGACAGCCCTGGAGAATAGCCTGTCGAACAAAAGCATCCTGAATAATCAACTGAAATAAATTCGCTGCAACTTTAAACACTTGAAGCCTCGGTGAAAGCCTTTGTTGAGGAGAGTTGTCCTTGGGCCACAATTTGTTAAACAACTTCCCAAAGGTAAATTTCGCTCCTGCCAGAGTGATTGTTTTAGAGGTCCACACTTTAGTAAGCAAACTAGCATGACATACCTGAACCCCTTGAGTTGTATCTTCCTCAAATAACTGAATGGGTTCCTGCTCAACCGGAGTCAATGTCAAACCCCGAAACTAAGATAGGATACCCTGGGTCAACCCATCCTCGCGCACCGTCCCCATAAAGAAACAGAAAAGGAAGATAAACTCACACCACCGTGGAACCCAAAAGGAAAAAAAGGACGTAGCAAAAGAACCATACCGAGAAGTCCAGACTAGTCTAGGATATATAACCCAACTAAAACACAGAGCGCAAGGCAAAAGAAGTATCATTATGGTCTCAGCAACAGGAAAGTACAACTGACACGATAGATAAGAACCATCGGACCATCGCTCGATAAAAGAAAATATCAGACAGATCAGATATGGAAACTTGGAGCATACGAAAGCAATTCTCAGCCAGACACGTCCCCTAAATAAGCCAAAAAAGTCAAAAAAAATCATACCCAATAAGTACTTAGTCGACGTTAGCAGAATAAAAAACATCAAATTTTCTTCTTCTTTTAATGCTTGTTAGTTATACCACATGTAAGTCATCATAATTATCATCACTGTTCTTTTGATGTTATCTGAAATTTCTCCCATTAGTTTATGACATTTGTTGAGGCTGAAATTCGCGCAATCCGATACGATACCGTTTTCCTGCAAGGAAGAGAGGAGAAGATCGATGAACCTTGACAGCACCGGTGTGGTGCTTGCCAAGAGCTCTCTAACGATCAAATTAGTCACGGAGGTTTAAAAAGAAGGCAGGGATTCATAATAGTTTTTACGTCGTACCTTCTTTAATGGCTTGATGCCCTATTTATGGCTGTCGATTGGAATCAAAATCGTTCCGTTGACATCGATGGTTGACCTTATCTTCCGCTTGTGCGAAATCATAGGAGATTTATCACCAGATTTGTCGAGATATGATTTAATCATTTTGACCTCCTCCAGTTATAGTAGGATTATTCTTACCTGTTGAACCACGTCAGATTTGATTTCATTATCCTTGATAATGAAATCTAATCAATCTTATCGAGGGTAGGGTAGGTTTATATTTTTTCTTATCAGTTGCCCCCCATTCCCAAGCTTGCACGTCTAGCTTTGGGAATGTAATAAATAATAATAATACTTTCTTTTTTTTTTTTTTTGCACCCGAGGGAACAGTACTCTTCCTTTGATAAGGGAATAAATTAAATAAGTTTCACTCCTTAATAAGGGAATTGAACTTTACGAGTTTTACTCAGCTCGTCCCTTTAATAAGGGAATTGAACTTTACGAGTTTTACTCAGCTCACCTCCTTAATAAAGGATTTTTATTTACTATCCCTTATTGTAAGGGGATATTAATTACGGGATTTATCCAACCCAGGTACTTGTAGTACAGGACATTCATTTATTTTCCCTTATAGTACGGGGATATGGATTACGGGATTCATTCAACCCGGGTCCTGATAATACATGATACTTATTCCCTATAGTCCGGGGATATGGGTGACGGGATTCATTCAGCCCGAGTCCTTGTAATACATGACACTCATTTACTATTCCCTTATAGTATGGAGATACGGATTATGGGATTCATTCAGCCCGGGTCCTTGTAATACAGGACACTCATTTACTATCACTTATAGTACGGGGATACTGCACGTATAAACTAAAAGGAATTTTATTAAAGACCATCATTATTAAAAAAAAAATAACACGTAATGGAGCTACCCTCCATTTAAAATGATTAACTAAGATGCCCCCAGTCTTTATTGTGAATGACTTAATAAGGCTAACTCCAGCCGCGAGACAATTTCTAGTCG